TTAAGGTTAAGGTTAAGGTTAAGGTTAAGGTTAAGGTTAAGGTTAGGCTAAGGTTAAGGTTAGGGTTAGGGTTAGGGTTAGGGTTAGGGTTAGGCTAACCACCTTGAGTCCATGTGGACTCCTGAGGAGTGAAGCACGTCTGAGGATGTGGAAGCCTTTAGAGGTTCAGCTGTCTTAAACCTGGGATGAGCTGGATCTAATCTCAGGTTTTTGGTTTTAGAATTCTTTCTCTTCTGTTGTTAAAGTGGTAACAACAGGGTAGGGTTAGGGTTAGGGTTAATGTGGTAGAAATATAATGGAAAGAAAGAACAAGACATGYTAGTGGAAGTGGTTGTAATGAGCATAAATGTTTAAAACCCAAGTGAGCGGTCCTTTCTTCTGGTTCTCTCCTCCTGGTTTTGTGCTGCAGGTCAAGCAGCTAACGGGTTAATTAGCCGAGTGAAGTGCTCTGCAGAGGAAATGTCACACTGCTGGCTGGCTTTGACTTCCTGAGCGGGAGGTTAAAGGTGGACGGTGAGTTTACTGAACCTGGTTCCTCTTACCTTTATTGTAAATGTCAGCCAGGAGCCATTAGCTCCACCAGGAGACGCTTCAAGTGGCAGACTTAAGGAGAGTGGTCCTCGCCCACCTCCCAGCTGTTCCGCCGGCGCAGAGTCCACCACGTTGATCCAGGGCCTGCAGGTTGTGAGGCTGCTGCAGGTGCTTCATGTGTTCAGTCACATTACAGGAGATGATGGAGACGTGTCTTCAGCACCTCTCAGCTCCACAGACACTCTGTGAGGATTGGGTCTGAACACCTGTACGAGAACAGGAGTGCAGGTAAGGTCAGCTGCTTCCTGTGCGAAACTAAAAGCTTCAACAGCAGTCAGGGGTTCAGACGTGACCTTCCTGTTATTAATACATTTCCAACACAAAGCCTGCAGATTCAACAGCTGGAGTGTTGCTGTCTGTCTGACATTAATCTGTGCAGAACTGATGTTCAACATTAAATTATATCGTTTCAAACTGCCTGAATGTGCCATTGTAGCAGCTTCTTTTCCCTGCAGTTCATTAAAATTACAACTCTTGTATTCTTCCAGCACACAATCCAGTATATTAGTTCAATCAGCTCCCTGCTGCTGCCATGACGTCACCTTGGTTTTCCTCACATCCCAGGAGAATGAGGCTGATTGCTGCTGCTTAAACTTTCAGCTTCTTTACAGAAGCCTTTTCAACTGTTTCCTCTAACAAACACTGAATGGTGCCTCTGGAACACATGGAGCAAATTACCCTCCGAATAACATTTGTTCATGTCCCCAACTGCTTGGAGACATGCAGGAAGGCTGAGAAAAGAAGAACTCATCTCTGGAGTTCAATATTGGCTAAAAAAACCTGAAATGAACCAAAAACATTTACAACAAACCTCAGACACATTTTAACAAATGTTTCAATTTGTTCTCAAAACAGAAAACTGAAGTTACTGTTGGTGCAAACTTTATATAAACKAACCGGATCAGGTTAGGATGTTTTATTTTAAATAAGAAAAAAAATCAACTTTAGAAAAACAGTCTTTAATTCCTGAAGCTTAGAAACCTGAGCAGCAATAAACTGACCTCAGAAACACAAAACTAACYATAAATCAATGACTCCTTTAGATGTAGAGCAGTTTAGTGGGGCCCAAAACCTTTTTAAAAGGACCGTATCTTGCCCAGGGGCCACTAGTTAATCTATTAGTTATTAGTTATTTGTTTATTAGTTTATTCATTAGTTTATTAGCCTGTCCTGGGAGCTGGATTAAAACATCTTCTCTGTGAAACAAAACTGGTTAGAGGAGATTTTAATGATCTGCTGCCTCAGATGGATGATGGATGGATGGATGGATGGATGGATGGATGGATGATGGAT